TTAAACATCTAAATTTTCGGTTAATTAACTTCGGAAAAAACCCGAGGAATTTAAACTATATCGAATTTCACCGAGTTTGTAACAATGAACTGAGGAAGTTTACAGTTAAGTGTGAAGAGTGCACCGTCATCGTCAACAAGAGGCGATGACGTGTCCGCTCTCGCACGAAAAGATATAAAAGGGGAGATCACCGGAAGCTCGGGGCGATTCGTCATAGGAAGTTGTACTTTGTGATAGTGCCCACTTCGACTCCCGAACCTCCATACAGCGGACTTGATCCAGCTACAGAGAGAGGATGTTGGAGAAGACACCACACCCTTCCATACAGAGTTGACGACGTTCGCCAACTCTCCCTTCCACCTAAAGGTATTTAGGGGTAGATTTTATAAAAGCGCTCTCTCTTTGAACTAGAAACTAGGGCAGCGACCTAGCTAAGAACATAATCGCCAATTTCTGTACATACTTTAAGATAATCGCATTTAGCTTTAGTAGTTTTGTAATTTAGTTTTGTTAGTTAATAAATGCTTGTTATTTCTGTTGACCTGTCTCCTCTCTAACGGCACCTGCCAGCTTACCAACGCACTCCCCACTCGATTTGCCCTCCTACCGCCATCCGACGACGCCGAGATCAGGCTTCACGAGCCCGTGCAGAGTAAGTGGTCATTGTGGGATTAACCGTGACCCGCTGCTTGTCTCACACTTGGCAATGACTCAAATTCAGAAATCACTGAAATTTTTCACAATAATAGAAGTAATACAATGACGAATCACGATAATTACCATCGTGCAAGAATAAAAACTGATTGGTTTATCTGGTTTTGAGGAGATTCTTTATTTTTCGTTTTAATCAGAAGTAGATTACTTTCTTTCAGCAGATGGAATATGTAGATCCAACTAAATTTGCGTTTATCCGTATCATATAATGTTAGTATGTCTGCGAATGTAGAAAACGCAACAAATAACAACAGAAATCTATATATTTCTATACAGTTTTACAACAGAGTTCTGTCATAATCGCGTACAATCTTTTCCTCAAGGCTTGAGAGAATAAGAATAATTATATATGTCTTCGTTTTCTTTGTTCGAGGTGCGATATTGATTTTGTAGTTTTTTTACACTGCAATCACAACATTCTCTATGCTCCTGTCAGTAGCAGAGTGGTTAAAATTAATAAACAGTAGTATTTAATTGAAGTATTTGTGCTTCACCAATTATGAATTTTTACTTTGTATTCTCCACACGTCTAACACCAGTTTTCCATCGAATGTAATTTTAAGGAGTAACTTTTGGGCTAATCACAAATCTATTCAAGTAGTTTAATACAGTTCAACCGATTTTGAATTCTGTGTGAAAGGTTGTACAAAAAAATTTCTTGCAGCAAGTATGCATTATGCATATGATACGAATATTTCATTTGCATAAGAAGTACTTGTTAGATATATTTTAAAATAATTTGTTCATCTTATTTGAGTATTTCGAATAATAAGTATTTTTCATACTTATACTAATATTTAAAAGCATAACACATATTTTATTTATTTAATACTTAGCACTGATTCCTGCATACAAAAAATAATTCGAGAAAAATTCAAATCTTGTACAGTGTTGACAATAGCCCATAGATTACATACGATTATTGATTCGGATAAAGTTCTGGTAAGATTTTATTGCTTATAATATAAAGCTAATATGTATTTTAATTACATATTTTAACTTTTTAGGTTCTAGATACAGGGAAATTACAACAATTTGACACACCATACGCACTACTGAAAAATGTGAATGGAACTTTTTATAATTTGGTGAAGAACACAGGAGTAACTTCCATGAACGAGCTATACAAAATTGCTAAAAATAAATATTATTTTAAAGAATTTACCGAAAGAACAAAATTATAAAACAGTGGATCTTTGATTCAAGTGTACTTTTTGTTGAATTCTTGTTCTGTATTTTATTTAATATCCTGTACTCAGAAATAAGTGGCATTTGCATCTGTGACGTAGAACATGGAATTTTTAAAATCTAAAACATTGGATAGCATTTGTTCTGCTGTTAAATTTATATACATGAAATGTAATAAAAAGATTTAATATTTCTAACAAATAGGTTTTAAAAGGAAACTATTCTTAAATTATTTATTTCCTGAATAAAACACCAAATTTTAANTTACATGTTTTTTTATAAAATACTTGACAAGGGAAAATAATTTACAATTAATAAATATTTCTAAATGAAATAAGTGAAGTTTTTTAATCAAATTTAAATTTCTCACAACATTAGCTATTGGTTGCATAAATTTAAAATTCAGTATTAAACGGAATACGCACGCGCAACTCAGATGTTGTGCTGATTGGCTAGCATATGTTGCATGATCACTCGTCAACATATTACTTTGGAGACTAGGAAATAGCACTATTCATAATGACTGGTCAATTTGATAAATTCATAAATATTTTTTAGACTGCATGCCTTATTAATCACTTGGTCCATAACATATACAGTATATCAATTACAGTAAAAATTCCGTTAATTTATTAGTCTATATAAATAATAGCTGATAATTTAAAATTCTCAAATTAATAATCTGGCATGCAAATGTTTAGTGAATTTAATGTTTCAGTTTGTAGACCGGTTAACACAATGTAATTAGGAGCAATTAAGGAGCGTGCATAACAAATCGAAAGTATGCAACAGCCTGCTCTGATACAAAATAAACATCACTTTCTGCATTCACATAACGTGTTGAATGATGCAAAAATACAGAAACTCGATAATCTTCCTATTCAAAATATTTTTGTGATGTACTATGTATTAGCAAGTGAAAATAATTATATTTTGTTTTGACTTGGAGTATGATTTTGTCTTTTTGCTAATCGAAGTCTCCATCAGTATAATAAGCCATATTAATAAACTAGGTCCAAGTAGACAATTTATACACAGAAATGTAAAACAATATCTATTAAATTATATCTAAACACGACTTGTACAACAGAAGCGATTAATACACCAGATATGTACTTTTTTTCAGGATCCGATGTTATTTACCGGTCCTCTTCGAAGAAACATCGATCCTTTCAATGAATATTCGGAAGAAAATCTGTGGCAAGCCATTGAAGAGGTTAGAAATAATTATTTTAATTTGCTACATGTTTCATCTGTGTAACTCTTTCTAATGATTAAAATTAATTATCGTGTATAACATATACATTTTAAAAACTTCTGAATTAAAGGTTCAATTAAAAGAAGTAATTAGTAAATTACCTGGCGGATTGGATACACATTTATCAGAAGGAGGACGGAATTTCAGCGTTGGGGAAAGACAGTTAATTTGCCTTGCCAGGACCATTCTTCTTCAGAATAAAATTCTTGTCATGGACGAAGCAACATCCAATATTGATAAAAGGTTAGAATATATAAACTATTTTCGAAAAAAAATTTTTTTTTTTGAATTTTTGGAATGCTTTTTAGGTCCCCAAATTTTTTCAAAATTTTTTGTCCGCGCGAAAAAATTTTATCGCGATTTAAATTAGCCTTTAATAAGGCTCGATTAAGGCTCAGTTGTTTTTTAATGGGAGTTTTTTATCAAAATTATTTCATGGTTCCTAAGTTGTAGCGCACGGATTTTCATTCAGTAAAGTTATTTAAAGTTAGTTTCTGATGTCAAAAACGACCTCCGATGGTTTTTTAATTTTTTTAATTAATATATTTTTATAAATATATAATTAATTAATTAGGGGGGNGACGAATCACGATAATTACCATCGTGCAAGAATAAAAACTGATTGGTTTATCTGGTTTTGAGGAGATTCTTTATTTTTCGTTTTAATCAGAAGTAGATTACTTTCTTTCAGCAGATGGAATATGTAGATCCAACTAAATTTGCGTTTATCCGTATCATATAATGTTAGTATGTCTGCGAATGTAGAAAACGCAACAAATAACAACAGAAATCTATATATTTCTATACAGTTTTACAACAGAGTTCTGTCATAATCGCGTACAATCTTTTCCTCAAGGCTTGAGAGAATAAGAATAATTATATATGTCTTCGTTTTCTTTGTTCGAGGTGCGATATTGATTTTGTAGTTTTTTTACACTGCAATCACAACATTCTCTATGCTCCTGTCAGTAGCAGAGTGGTTAAAATTAATAAACAGTAGTATTTAATTGAAGTATTTGTGCTTCACCAATTATGAATTTTTACTTTGTATTCTCCACACGTCTAACACCAGTTTTCCATCGAATGTAATTTTAAGGAGTAACTTTTGGGCTAATCACAAATCTATTCAAGTAGTTTAATACAGTTCAACCGATTTTGAATTCTGTGTGAAAGGTTGTACAAAAAAATTTCTTGCAGCAAGTATGCATTATGCATATGATACGAATATTTCATTTGCATAAGAAGTACTTGTTAGATATATTTTAAAATAATTTGTTCATCTTATTTGAGTATTTCGAATAATAAGTATTTTTCATACTTATACTAATATTTAAAAGCATAACACATATTTTATTTATTTAATACTTAGCACTGATTCCTGCATACAAAAAATAATTCGAGAAAAATTCAAATCTTGTACAGTGTTGACAATAGCCCATAGATTACATACGATTATTGATTCGGATAAAGTTCTGGTAAGATTTTATTGCTTATAATATAAAGCTAATATGTATTTTAATTACATATTTTAACTTTTTAGGTTCTAGATACAGGGAAATTACAACAATTTGACACACCATACGCACTACTGAAAAATGTGAATGGAACTTTTTATAATTTGGTGAAGAACACAGGAGTAACTTCCATGAACGAGCTATACAAAATTGCTAAAAATAAATATTATTTTAAAGAATTTACCGAAAGAACAAAATTATAAAACAGTGGATCTTTGATTCAAGTGTACTTTTTGTTGAATTCTTGTTCTGTATTTTATTTAATATCCTGTACTCAGAAATAAGTGGCATTTGCATCTGTGACGTAGAACATGGAATTTTTAAAATCTAAAACATTGGATAGCATTTGTTCTGCTGTTAAATTTATATACATGAAATGTAATAAAAAGATTTAATATTTCTAACAAATAGGTTTTAAAAGGAAACTATTCTTAAATTATTTATTTCCTGAATAAAACACCAAATTTTAAAGAATTTAAGAATGGAAAATTGCGTTATTGCAATATTTAAAAAAAAAAAAAAAAAATTTCACAAAATTTCATCATAAACACTTAAATGAAGAACATATTTTTAGTAGACTACTAAATACGTATATGTTTTAGTAGAAACAAATTTTATGGTTATCAGGATAAATAAAATATTTTATATATTTGAATTTTTATTTTCTTTATTTCTGTAAGTTGAAATCTGTCGCCATCAGGGCGTGCCGTGACATTTGATAATAGGGAAGCTGTGTTTCTGTAAGAAGCCGACTTTCAGGGGCAATCAGTTAATTGCGCGTCTGTGATGGTCTAGTGTCCATTCGTATTCGTTTCTTCGATAAGGCAATAAAAACCGTATACTTCTTTAAATGTACTTTTAATATCACAAATACAAGTATAATGCATCCAATTCTATCCAGGACCGGTTCCGTGCTGTTAGCCGCTATTGTTAGATATTTGGCCGCCCTCGCCGGATTACGAGAATCACGAGTAGATTTATAACTTAACCCAACCGATAAGAATTTACTGGTATGATGTTTTTATGATAGTTCTGTATAGTTGAAAAAAGTTTAAAAAACTCCATTAATATATTTGATATTTTAATTCTGCTCTCCGATTTTATATTGCTCACGGATTTCAATGTTAAACCAGTGATAGTACGATTTAGTATGACCTGTCTATAAGGGGATGTAGAAAAAAAACGTGTACAATTCTTGCACAATGTTAAAAAATTAACTGTTACTTTTGGTAGCATAATTTAAAACTAAATTTAATGAATGAGAGAGATGCACGAGGTGCAGAAAAAGCTCTAGAATTTATTTTCCTTAAATTTACGATTTATGTATCCGTTTGTCCAAAAATTTTTCTTTACACTTTTTCACGAGACTACAAATATTCGAGTACAAAGTAACCGGTTTCGACTTATTTTTACTTAAGAAGTAGTTAAATAATTAAGCGATTAGGAATTGGGGACATAAACAAAACCCTGATGAAAGAGTCGAAATTTTACTTAAAGAAAAGCTTAACCGAACCAATCTCTAGCCGAGTACAGTGGGACTGATTTCTTCGAAATATTAGATGTAATAAAGACAAACATTTTTCCAGTTCAACGAGAGTGACCGAAAAGTTGTAAATTTTGGAAATTTCCGTGGACAACAGCTGGTCCTAAAACGAATTAGTTAGAAAAGAAACGACGGACAATCTATTAAGTTTAACATATTTAGACTTTTACAACTATGGTGAGAAACGTTTAAAATTTACAAGAACCCTGTCGCGTCTTTTTAGATATTCTACTGACGCGAATAAACAGGCATTTAACATTGACCGGTATGGGCACCCTCGGAATTTGGCAGCCCGCGGAATCAGAGACGGTCCTAGCAGGACCGTCTCTGATTCCACTCGTAGGGAGCTACTTGACTAAGTGGTTAAGATTTAAAGAGTAAAGAATATTTTATGTTATTTTTATGTACGTTTCATTACAAAGCTATATTTAATTATAATTTTCTTTAAAAGTATATTCATACAATTGAAGAATGTTTTGTACCAGGTATGTATATCCACCACACATTTTATTTCACCAAGTAAGTTTTTATAATTTTATTTTTAATTTTAGCCCTTATATCGTGGCTAGCGATTCGGAATGTAATTGCGATATTGAAAATTTATTTTAAAAAAGTTTTGGCTCAAGATCATATAATGAAAAAGAAAACATTATTAAAAGAGAAAGGCCAATGCCTAAGTGAAATATAAACACTTCATCAAAAAAAAAATTTGTTCGACATTTTCACGATAAAATGGCTCTGTAAATGCATAAAAATGCAAAAATTGTTTTGTTGGCTTGCCTACTATTTTCAAATGAAATTAGTGTGTGGAATAAGAATGGCTTTGACAATTTAGCTGGCAAAAGACACGAAAAATCGTCGATTCTTTCGTATTTGAAGCAATTTGGAAATCGAAGCGGAATAGAATTTAACATTAGTAAATAATATAAAATAAATATTGAAAATTATAACGAGATAGTTACGGCTAATAGATATATTATATCTAAAAAATAGATGTTATATGTTTTTATCAAAGCAAGAATTGGCATTTAGAAGGCATATGGAGTATATTGGATTTAATAACAGAGGTAATTATATTAAACTTGTTTATTAAGTACGTCGGATAAATAATCTATTAAAAATACATTTAAAGAAAGAATTAACTGATTGCCCCTGGAAGTTGGCTTCTTATAGAAACACAGCTTCCCTATTATCAAATGTCACGGCACGCCCCTGTGAATTTCACGACTGTAATGATAAAGGGAAAGTATGATGTACAGAGGCAAGCTGCTACTAATTTGAGGTGGAGAGCATATATTTTAAATGAAATAATAAAATAAATTAAAAACATGATTAACAAGTAAAACGGCAAAACCGTATTTGGGACAAAACTGTCTCGGAGACAAAACCACTTTGATCTTCAAGGCAGGTCTCGTTCTCATTTTCCTATCTTCTTTGATATCGCTGGTTTTGGGCGCGATCGTTAAAACTTCGTGGAGGTCGTCCACGAGCCATTTTCGGTGAATGTTCTGTCGGTAAAAATTGACTAAGAAACTGATAATTTACTTAATTTATATCGGCAGTGCGATATTTACAATAGCGTCGATATATAATATAAATCCAAGATCGCACGGCTGTCGACTCGAAAAGTCAATTAACGTGAAATGAAAAAATGTCTCTCCTACCTTGTCCCTGATGTCCACGTTGACCTCGACCACGTGTTCTGTGTCTTTTGTTTTGTCGTTAAAAATTTACTAAAAAACTGATAATTTACTTAATTTGTATTGGCAGAGTGATATTTACGACAGCGTCGATATATAATATAAATCAAAGATCGACACGGCTGTCGAATCGAAAGGCAGTAAAAAGATGTCTAAGAGTTTAGGAGCAAGGTGAGGTCTAAGAGCGAAGGTCACGCGCAGGCGCCCTCAGTCCTAAGGTCAGAGTTCACTTGTTAGAATGACTGCAGGTGGTATTCTCTCCTACCCGACTTCGGTGGGGTGAGGTGGCTGTTTTTCCTGTTTGTAAAAGAGGGTCGCCATTTTGGATTTTATTTTGACTCGATTCTCGGTCCCCTGACTACCTACGAGTCTGGATTTTTTATGCGCAAATGATTTGGGCACCTAATACTCTGTGCCAAATATCAATTCTCTACATGTACTCTTTCATACCTCTATGCTGATAAGAACACGAGGCAGTATGATTTTATAAACAAGACATAGTCTTGTCAAAAATTGTAGGCCAGCAAGATTTACAAGATTTATTAATTGTGCATTTCAGACTATTTTCCATCAACCGGATGGCAGAAGTTATAAGTGTGTTATAGTACAGTAGTGACATATAACATAACAGTGGCATAAGCACAAACAGCTACACAGAGTTTGGGCAGTAAGGGTTCTGTATGTGACTGCTCCGATTTCGAATTACTCTCCCTAGAGATTTCTGTCCAATCGTGCGTTTATTGAATTGTGCGTTATTACTGATGTCTTCCGGTATAAATTACAGTTTATTTTGTGTGATAACGCTTCTTGTCTAGCCTTGTGTTCAAATATACAAGGTGGCTTTTATTTTTTGTTAGACTTATTATACCATCAATAAAAGGAGGACCTACGTTAGAAAAACTTTTTATTCTTTTGAGAATGCATTTCGGACAATTATGTCCTTTTTCAACTCTGTGTGTTACAAGTATTTATGGGAAAAATTTTTACATACAAGTTAGCATAATATATACAAGTTTGCACAAAAATCATCGTGATGTTACAAATTTGTAAAAGAAACAACAGGAAACATACATGAGTTATAAGAAATGCAGGAATTGTAACATTAGATAAAATATGGATGGTTATGGTTAACAGGTATAAGCTATAAAACAATGATAAATTGGTAAATGATTTACAAAAGAAAAAACAAAATACATATATGTAAAAGGTTTGGACTTACTGCAAACATAACGGTATGGTACAGTACATAGTGTTGGAAAAACACTCCAGTATACATGGTGCACTGCTGAGGCAAGTCTATAAAATTTAGGAAACACGTGACCTTTATTGCGGTAAGAACAATACAAAACATTTTGAGAACGGTAGAATGATGAAGTGAAGAAAGTGCACCGTAAAATAAAACAATTTTCTTACGTTTTTTTCTAATGTGTACCTCGAACGTCGAGCGACGCTATCCCCACACCTGCTAAAACAATTGTTCACCTGACTAATTTTCCCATCACAAAAAAGTATAAAACACGTCCTTCTTTCCCTCTCGGGGGAGTAGCTGATCGGGAAGTCGCTCGAAGTTTGTCGAAAGAAGTCGAATACTGCTATCTTGCCAGACCTATTCCGGAACCCGTATAACATGTGCCAATTTATTGAATTTACGGGAGAATTATCACGCTGATAGTCTGTCAGGAGGTATGAAAGCTTTATTCTAAACTCTCTCTCTCTCATACGCGAATTAGAAGGAGTTTTGTAATTTTAATTTCGTTAGTTAGTTAAATAAACTCTTGTTTTGTTTAAAATGGTGTTTTTATTCGACTGTGCCATCGTCTTATCGTCGACCCCTCTGACTCTCCTCCACTCGCGTAACGCGTAATAGAACGTAAACGCAATCCTTGACAAGAAAGTGGGTCACCGACCTGTTGGTGGAAAGGAGAGGCATTACCAACCTCTCCAGCGGCTCACAATAGATGGAGAAAGGAAATACGGAAATACTTTTAACACTGGTGAAGAAATGCAAATTATCCGGAAGTTGTGTCATATCTACAAATTAGAAGTGATTTTAGAAATATATNCGAAACAAAGGAAAATAAAATTTGAAGGTTTTTCTTCAAAGTTAACGCATTTCTTTCGTTTTTTTTTCAGTTTTAAGTATTTTTAATGTATTTTAATATTAATCTTATATCAATTTAATTAATGATCGGGAAGGAAGGGGTTAAAAATTGATCTAATTTGAAATAAAAATTATTTCATTTTATGATTTGTGATACACGGAAAATTATATCCTATTTCGAAATTGTAAGATATATGTAATATATTCTAAATATGTGTGCTAATCATGGCGGCATATTTAAAAGGTTTTCTTGAGTGTGTTTAGTTACTAAGAAATGCAGTCTACAATGAGTTTTAATGGGGCAACGCCAGCCAAAAAGTACCGAACCCTAGTCAAGAAGATTTGCAGGGACGATGGAAAGCTTGGGTTTCTGGCGGATTGCAGAAAATGCAATGTCTTTCCAATGTCGATTTAGAGAATATGTTTACCCCAAGGATGTGCCTCTCTACTCCCTAAACTACGAGCAGTTTGCTTAAGAAAAGCCATCCGCTCCACACGGCGCAGAAGATTTTACTTGCTTAAAGCTAGAAAATGAGTCTGTACGAGCTGGGACCACAAGTCTTAGAGGAAGCTAACTACCGAGTTTTAGGCTTAGCTAATCAGGTGACGATTAGATTACGGAAAGGATATAAGAACAAAATGGACTGGATTAAAAGGCACCAAGAATGTCGTAGAATGCAGATCAACCCTACAGTTATCTGCTGGGATGACATCACACTTCCAACATGCTTGAAAGAAGCATGTAAGTATGGACCTAAATACGCACCACTACCTAAACTCACGCACGAAAAGATCATGTCGGAAGTCGAGCAAGCTATAGCGGGGCTCAGTGAGATCAAGAAGGAAATGTTTAGATGGGAAGTGGCGCTTAAAATCGAACAAGAATATAACAAAAGAAATTGCGACCCAATCTGGGCAAATATTAGAAAAAGTCGAGACTGGCTGAAAGGTAACAATCTCGTGTTCACTAGGGCCGACAAGTCGAAGGACTTAGTAGTCATGAAAAGAAGCACTTACGACGACTTTCTGTTAAAGTACATTAATGATACACATTGTATTACGGCACACTCATGTGCTCTAGAAAGGCTGCAGGTAAAAGTTAAAAGGTTTGCAAACACACCGCTGGCTAAAGAACTGGGTTTGACGAAAATAATAGTCCACTCTCCGTCCGCACTTAGGCTATTTGGATTTGCCAAAATCCATAAAAACGATAAAAGCTTAAGGCCTGGCGTTGATAAAGGATGCGCATCCACAATATTATTGGAAAGCTTTGCCAGTGAGTTCATTCGCAAATACTCGCGCCCCGCATCAATACTGCATAAAACAACCTTTAGAACTTGTACATAAAATGACAAATATGAAGTCTCAAGAAATTAAGTATATGACCGTATTGGATTTCAAGACGCTGTACCCTTCTATCCAACTAGAACCATGTTTTTGCAATTTACATGATTTCCTTTTAAGCAAGATCAAGCATCCAGAAAAGAAGAAAAAGCAGATTTTAGAGTTGACGCATCTAGAAAATTTTTCATCTATTTTTAACTTTAAAGGCGTCACATACACGCAGCAGAAGGACGTCGCCATGGGAAGCCCAGTGGCAAGTAGTTTATGTGAGATGGTGTTAAGAACGCTAGAGAATGCATTCATGCCGAATTATGAAACGCAAATTCAAATGTACGCACGGTATATCGACGATGTGGTTATGTTATGGAAATTCAAACTCAACTTACAACAATTCTTAAAGGAAATTAATGACAAAAAGTTCGGCCTCGAGATTGAACTCGAGCAAGAAAGTGATACGCTCATACACATTTTGGATTTATCTATACAACTAGACAGCAAAGGCGATTTTCTCAATAAAGTCTATAGAAAGCCTACGTACAACCCGATATTTATCCCATGGAATTCGCACGACCCGCCAACGTATAAACTAGCTGCATTCCGGGCGCTCATCGCATGAGCTTACTCACACTGCAGCAGTACCCAAGACAGAAACGATGAACTGTGTTAAATCAATAAACTAGCTAAGAGGTGTGGGGTTAATATTAAAGCTATTACTAGCCAAATTAAGACACGTAGCAAGGTGCGAAATTTATAAAATACAGAAGAGTTCACACTGATGGAATATAAGGCTTCGCTGAGCAGTGTCTATAGGCGAATAGGAGCCACTACGAAAAAAAGAATAATATACAAAAGAAATCCTACTATTTATCAATTGCTAAGGGCAGACAAAGATGCCGTGGACAAGAACGCTCTTCCAGGGGTCTACAGAATCCCTGTTACAGACACGCCGAGGCAGAATATGATGTTCTACATCGGAGCTACTGGAAGATCCCTCAAAGAAAGGTTGTCAGAACACCAGAGAAACATAAGAAGCGAACAGCCGGGCACAGCGCTAGCGACTTACGTCTCAGCTGACCCCCAAGAGGTCAAAGCTGAATGGGACCGAGCTAGATTGATACAAATAGTTCGCGACAAAAAGCACCTCCGGTACGATGAAACCTGGCATATCTGCAAAACCAGCCAGAAAGGATTAGCTATCAACTTCCGAGATGCAAGCAAAGTATCGGCAGCCTGGCTAGCAAGCATATTATAAGCCTCAAGAACGATGGCAAAGCGGCAACTTACTTAAGGGCAGAACCCTTAAGTTAATGTATTTGCTCAACACGTTGTTTATGTTTGGTATTTTATGTCTGTTTGGTATTTTATGTCTGTTTGTATTTTTTATTTTTATTTTTACAGTTATTTTATATCTTGAACGTCATATTTTTTTAACGTTCTAATAGCTACTGTGGTTATATAATGACAGCCTTTATGTAGAGATGGCGCTCTTTATTCCCGTAGAATATCCTTTTAAAACACGTTCCAAAACGCTTGTATCGTTAATTCAAATTTTCTCAATGTTCGGAGTTCGATTTTTCTGTTTTTTTTCCGTTTATTCTTGATAAAGGTCATCAAATATGACCGAAAACGTTAGAATTTCATAAATACGGTTGCATATTTAAAAGGTTTTCTTGAGTGTGTTTAGTTAGTAAGAAATGCAGTCTAAGATGAGTTATATGTGCTAATCATTTTCTGTTTCAGTTTATAAATTATTGATTGAATATTATTCAATTAATTGTTAGTTTGTTTTATTTGCAATTGTTTCCAGATTAAGTTATAAACCACGAAAACTTATGTGAGTAGCCATGGGCGTAGATCAATGTCTCTGCCGTTTACGGGCACACAATCGCAAGATTGGCTCAAGGTCATCTAAAGGAGGTTTTGGTAGACCAGGCGTTCGTGTAAACCCCCGGTAGTTGTCTTCCTGACACCAGTTAATCAATTTAATTCGCGGATTAACACGCGAGGAAAAAAAGGAATATTGAGTGGGAGGGACGTACTTTATGTATGTGGTGATGATATAGGTGGAGATGATTCAAAATGAACCTCTCGTTTTTTTCCTTTCATTCAGATACGAGGAGACATTTCTTTAACAATAATAAAACAAAAATTTATTGAAACAAAATAACGAAATTTATACAAAAATGGACAATTTAAATTAAATGTTTGAGAGAATTTACAAGTTCTATTATAAGCATACTACCTCTATGTCTATTTCTCTTCTCCTGTTCTTTAATGATTGATTTCACTTCTTTCTAGGTAGATCTTGCATGGCACATATTTATGTATTTTCTTCTTTATCTACTGACTTATCGAAACATGGAAGTCTAATATGGGCGTTGGCCTTCAGGAGATGATATGGAATATGTCTTCCTTCTAGGGAATTTCGTGGCATACTCCCCGAATCATGCAAAACTCTTTCTATTTCTCATGAGTTTTCTCCACTCAGCTTTTCGGATTCTCTCACGTGAACAGAGGAAAAGGGGATTTATCGAAGGGTTAACAATTCCCAGGGTGACTAAGATTTTAGCAGATAAGGGGAAAAGAAGAGGATGTTTCAACTTCCGTTCAGGAAGTGACTTTTATCAGTTTCCCTCGTTTAGAAAAACATAATTTTCCTACCAAACTCAAAGAATATTTTTCGTTAAAAATTTAACATTTTATTAAATTATTAATTATTCCCAGGGGCAATTCAGATCTCACACTTAGTTCAAGTTAGGCATTAACAGTTCTCAACTATATAATAATACGGTATGTTCTGTGGAAATTGGCCATAAATTAGGCTAACAGATAAATATGGTGCATAAGATAGTCATGACGATTAGATTGATATTAAGCCCATATTAAATTATATGTAAATAAGCGATCTTTTTATGTTACATTGTGTTTTGTTGTGTAAGCTATTCAATGTATATACAATGGTATACAAAGAAACTCTGATGTCTTTGTTATTTTTTATATACTTCGTGATTCATATCATTTAGACTTAATTTTAACTACATTTTAATAAAAAAATTCAATGGAAAAAAATTATAATGTATCAGCACTGACATCTGACTGAAAATTTGTAACATTTTGTTAAAATTAATATACTCCGGTTACGTAGTTTGTTCTTGGCACTAAGCCAGAACGACTTGAAATATTGTTCTGTACGATTCTACATAACATTTATGAATGTACGAGTTTTCGTTTTAAAATTATCACAGATTATATAAAACCTTTGTTTGAAATCAATACTTTATTCTGCTATCAACTAATATTAGGAACTAATATACTTTATTCACTTTATTTCGAACAAAAATATAAATTTTTGTAACAAACATATAAACCAGTACTAATACATTTACCATGTGCTAATATTTTAGATTAAATTAAAAAATAAAAAAAATATATAAAATATTAGAACTGAAGGTTACAATTTGAATACTTATAATACGTTGACTTATTATTACGTAAATATGCTATAAATAGAATAAAAAATTATCAAAAGATATATGAATTAAGAAAAAATATCGCTAAATAAATATTTTTGAGTCAACAAACTTGTTAGTGATATTTTGAAATAATTTTTTCATCTCATCTGAGTATTTCGAATTTCGTACTTACACTAATATTTAAAACAATAACACATATTTTATTTATTTACTATTTAGCACTGATTCCTGCATACAAAAAATAATTCGAGAAAAATTCAAATCTTGTACAGTGTTGACAATAGCTCATAGATTACATACGATTATTGATTCGGATAAAGTTCTGGTAAGATTTTATTGCTTATAATATAAAGCTAATATGTATTTTAATTACATATTTTAACTTTTTAGGTTCTAGATACAGGGAAATTACAACAATTTGACACACCATACGCACTACTGAAAAATGTGAATGGAACTTTTTATAATTTGGTGAAGAACACAGGAGTAACTTCCATGAACGAGCTATACAAAATTGCTAAAAATAAATATTATTTTAAAGAATTCACCGAAAGAACAAAATTATAAAACAGTGGATCTTCTTTGATTCATGTGTACTTTTTGTTGAATTCGTGTTCTGTATTTTATTTAATATTCTGTACTCAGAAACAAGTGGTATTTGCATCTGTGACGTAGAACATGGATTTTTTAAAATCTAAAACATTGGATAGCATTTGTTCTGCTGTTAAATTTATATACATGAAATGTAATAAGAAGATTTAATGTTTCTAACAAATAGGTTTTAAAAGAAAACTATTGTTAAATGATTTATTTCCCGAATAAAACACGAAATTTCAAAGAATTTAAGAATGGAAAATTGCGTTATTGCAATATTTAAAAAAAATTTGTTCACAAATTTCATCATAAACACTTAAATGAAGAGCATACTTTTAGTACTAAATATGTATTGTGTAGAAACAAATTTTATGGTAATCAGGATAAATAAAATATCTTATATATTTGAATTTTTATTTTCTTTATTTCTGTAACTTGAAATCTGTCGCCATCAGGGCATGCCGTGACATTTGATAATAGGAAAGCTGTGTTTCTGTACGAAGCTGACTGAGGGCAATCAGTTAATTGCGCATCTGTAATGGTCTAGGGTCCATTCGTATTCGTTGCTTCGATAAGGCAGTAAAAACCGTAGACTTTTCTAAATATATTTTTAATGTCACAATTACATTCCGAATTGCTAGCCACGATATAAGGGCTACAATTAAAAATAAAATAATAATAACTTACTCGGTGAAATAAAATGTGTGGTGGATGTACCGGTACATACCTGGTACAAAATATTCTTCAATTGTAT